TGTAAACTAAGGGGTGGCTGTTCTGCCTCGGGTGATGCAGGCTGGCAGCTCCTCCAAAGCATGGTTGCTGTCTCCTGCCAGAGGAATTCTCTGTAGCTGTCTAAATGGGGAAAAAACTTGACTTGAGGTCAACTTAGTCAGCTTGCCTTGATTGAAGTCCCTGTTATCTCCACAATGACAGCTGAGATCATTTGACCTGGTCAGGCTGTAACCATGACCACTTCAAACACTCCCTAGCTGGTAGCAGCAGCAGCTGGTGGAAAGGTGCTGCTGGCAGCACAACCAGCTCCAACCATCGGAAGGGTTAAACCTTCCTCCCCCTCACTCCGACGCTTACTGCTCACAGGGACTCAAAATGAAGCATGTACAAGTCAGAGAGCTGGTCAGCTCCTCGTTTGCAGGAGACCAGTGGCAGCATTACGTTCAGCCTGAGCAAAAGAAATTGAGGACTCCAGCCCACCGAAGTGTTTTCCCATTATTGGGTTGATTTGATTGAGGGAGGCGAAAAAAAATTCCAAGTACCCTTTAGCAACATGACCTTACAAACCTGTTGGAAGCTCTTGTTATTTTCAGAGTTTTGGATGATTTTCCAATAAACTTTCTTATTGAACAATTTGGTCCAGCTTTGAATAATTTGGTCCAACAGATTTTATTCTTACACACTTAATAAGCAAAATGCTCCCTTTATGCCTTTGCAATAGCTTACCTGTCATTCAAAATTACAAAGTTTCATAGAATTCAAGGGTTCCTGTGATATTCATCAACAGTCACGCTCTAGAGAAAGAGCTCCTGAGCAGCAAGGGATGGAAACAGGACCCAGTCATACAAAGTGGTGTCAGACTTGTGGTCTGCCTTTGGGCCCAGGGTCTGCTAAAAGTGAGCAACTTTCCAGGTAAAAGAGGAACAGAAACTCACGGGGAATGACACAAAGTTAGTGTAGGTGTATTTCATGTTCTTTAGGGTTTAACTTTTAACTCATTTATCCCCTTAATTCCTGAATTAACATGCAATGCAAATCTCATTATCATTACACAAACCCTAGTCTACACAAAGATGAGCAAAACCCAAGGCCAGTCCCCAATGCAGAAAGGTTAATATCTAAAAGCAGAATCAGAGAACTCAAGACTCACCAGAAAACCAAAGGAAAGACCAAAATGGAATTCTCAATGTATTTATTTTAAAGATTACTTCCCATTGTCCTCATAATTTTAAAGACTTTTTGGGGGATCTGCTAGTGTAGAAGTACAGCCTTGGAGAACTTTACCTAGATGTAGATTAACACTACCTGACTTTCACATTTGGCATGCTACTAGGACAAACTTTGCCATGAAAGTGCTTCTGACATCAGCACATTTCATGTTTAATCCCAAGGATCTGTTTATTTTCTAATCACAGTTTAAAAGAGCACAATTTTTTCTGTGTGTGAAGCAATGATATCTACCATAATATAGTTTCCCCTACAGACAACATACATAACAATGTGTGTGACAGGCATAATACACACAATTAAGAAGACTGTGTGACAGATTAGTGACCAGAAGTCATGAAAGAGCAGACAGATAAAACAAAAGTTGTGAATATTTGATCTCTTTTAAGAGTTAATTTGATCATCGTAACCCTTTTGAATTCTTTTTTTGGCAAAAATCAGACCATGCAAATATCATTAGGACAACTGCCCAAGAAAAACGTGAACAATAAATGATGAAATACAGACTCCAAAGATACTGTAATATTGAATTTCCATTATGAAATTTAGAGACTATTCTAGTGACAATTAAACAAGCTATTCTGCCAAGGAAAGAGAAAAAAAAAATACTTTTGTGTTTAAGTACCAGAATGTGAATTGCAAAACATACAACAAAACCTCTATCCAAGCAAAGAATTGTGCAAAGGCTTAGACACTGGTAGTAAATAAATTAAAAAGAACACCCCTTCAGCACAGCACATATTAAGCTCTTTCCTCTCTCCTCCTCTACTCAAAAGCCATCCTCTATTTTCACTATAGGCTCCATGAGCAAAATGGACTTTTCTCATCCTCAAATCTTCAACTTCACCTCTAATGGTCTTCTGTACACTAGAAAGGATTTTCCTTTCTCCGCTACAGACTTCTATGTTGGTTTGCAGTGTCTAAGCCTCATCTTTCATCTCTTTGATGAGAAAAGCCCCAATGTAGCGTTTTACTGTGGCAAAACCTGTGCTTTTAGTAGGGTCCTATTTTCTCTCTTGTAAACAGCTTTGCTTTCAAACTGCCACTCAGGCTTGTGGCCACCACCATCCCAGGCACACTTTGTCAGCACAGACATCAGTACAGTGTTGCTTGTACAGACACTGCCTGGGAGTTTACTGGCAATAATTGCATTAGAATAATTTTACACAACACTTGTTGCCAGCTTAAGCAATTTTTACTCAATGTGTCTGAAGAACAGTGCCTTTTAGGGTAACTACATCCATTCTGGGTTGATATGCCACAGTGCATTCTTCTACTAAAATTTAAGATAGCTATTGAAATACACCGGCACTCTGAGATTAGCCAAACCAAACAAACTTCCTGATTTCTTTTTTTAGTGTCCATTAATTTATCTGATTATTTGTAATTCAATACAATTTAAAAAAAAAAACCCCAAACAACTTTCAATCTCATACATACAGCATTGCCGAGCATTGCCGTGTTACCAACCACACATATGCATCAGCTGCTCCAGAAAACCAGCAAGTAGACAGCGATGTGGCTATGGAGAATTTGAGAACGCCACCAGAATCATCACTAGGATGCCACACAAATACTACTAAAAGAGCAGAAAGCAGTTACTTCTCTTCAGTGTATCTTCTAGCTTTCTCTGTATCTTTGTCCCTCTTTCTGCTCCTGTTTGCTCAGGATCTCAGAAGGGTATTCCCCATCCCAGGGCATGAAACTTAACATTTACTACTTCTGTAACATTCTTCCTATGGTTAGTCTGTAATATTCTTCCTATTCTCAAATTACTTGATAAAAGAGGACATACCACTGTCACAGTTTTGCAATTAATTATATTCTGGAGTCATACAACGGGTCAGTAGCAGAACCAAGACCAGAACATCAGGCTCAGGTCAGTGCTCCGTCCATGCTGCATCCAGAGGACACTTTTGTCAGCCTGGACAGGGACTGTCCCGACTGCTTAGCTAAGATGAGCCACGCACAGCGAGCATGAGGAAGCAGCAGGCACAGACAACAGCCTGGGTACACAGGGCAACTGATGTACTTTTCATCTTCTGACCAAAGAAGAGGTCACAGGACAGTGAAGTTTTATTAAAACTAGATTCCATTTTTATTGCTCTTATTCAACTTTTTTTTTAAAGTACAGAACGCAAAGGCTTTACACTTTTGCTTTCACTTTTTGTTCACGTGTGAAATCTCCTCTCTTTGAAACTGCTTTGCCATTAACTTACAGAGAAGGTCCATGTGACTGCAGCTGGACTGCTGCTGGTACCTTGGTGGATGGATGCCTTCACAGCTGCCGGGGCTTCTCTACACTGCACAGCTCTCTGCACCGCAGGCATCTCCCCGGCAGGGCTGGGAATAAAGCCTGCATCTCCTAAGCACCTCTCTGTTCCAGCTGAAATTACTCCGCTAAATGAAGATGCATCACAGGTTTTGTGTGTTTCAAACAGATAATAAATGATGTTATAAGGTCACAAACATCAGAGGCATCTCTGAGCTTAACAGATGCAAAATTCAATACACCGATCCATTTTGAAGATAAAAATGTTAATAATGGTTTCATAGTCTAAGTAATGAATATAAATTTTCTCTCCAAAACCGATGACATTTCCTGAATCAAAATTGGTTGGACTTTGCTTTCTATCCAAGCATAGTTTTCTCTTGCTTCATTTAAGGTTCTGGAAATCAAAGTTACTGGCCTTTCACATGCAGCTGTCACTTATGTGAGTAACCCTGGATTTATTAAAATTCTTTATTCTATTACTAAAGACAGCAAAATATTATTTCCATCCCATTTTCAACAAATGTCTCATTGGTTTTATTACTGTAGACAAGTAAGATGTTCCTGGAATGGGAAATATGCAAAAAATCTTAAAATGGTTTCAAAAAGGTATGTTTCATTTCCTAGAACAGAGCAGAGACAGTTTTACCTGCGAGAAATCCTGAACTACCTGATCAATTCTCTTATGGTAATAATTACAAGGCAACATTATTGATGCAATATAAATGGTTCTTTTTTTCAAAACAGCTTTCTCATGTTTACCTCAAAGTGCAATATTTGGTATACCATACAGCAAAATACAGACAAAATAAAACAATTAATACATGGGATAAATCTTTTCTATGTATTAATGCTGAGAAAATAAGACTGAGAATTATTCAAAACTTAGATATGTTAATATAAAATAACTTGAATAACTAAAATACATGATATTCGTGTAAAAACCCCAAAATTAACAACTGAAATCCCCTTTTAGGGATCATTAAAGACCAGAACTTTGCTTGAAGAACAGTCTCTAAACTTTGCTTAAACTGCAAAACATTGTAAACATGCACATGTAATACAACTTTCAAGCCTTCATACTTACGTTACTGAAATTATATATATCTGTAACGTTGGCGCCGCATCTTTGGAAAGTTCAACAGCAATATGTACATCAACCTTTTCACTACCTTATTGCTAAATCAAGAAAACAGTTATACACTAACTTCCTTTAAAAGCAGTCTTACTGAAAGAGAGCATTAAACTGTATATTAGATACAAGAGAATAAGAATAAATCACAAACCCACACGGTTCGTTTTGAAAACTCCGTTGTTCTGCTAACGTTGGTAACTCAATACACTAAGGTAGCGACCCCTTTGCCTGCACACAGTCAAACCTTCCTTTCACTCATGTGCTCCTTATGTACAATTGAACCTGAGTATCGGCACTGAAGCAGGAACCGCGTCTGAGTAACATCTCATAGAAATAATTTAAAACCATTTTCTAAATTGCCAGAATAATGACAGTAAGTCAGACTTGTTGACGCATTTTATTGTGAGATGGGGAGTCTGGTAAAAAACTAGAAAATGACCATGATGTAACAAGGAACTTAAAAATGAAGTTTCAGATTGTAACATACATACATGAATACAGGAACAAATTGGCACAAAAATGTTAAACATTGTTCCCAACACTGTTTATAAGATTATTCTAATTTGGCTTACTAAGGAAATGAGAGTTTTATGGTTAGACTAATCTCTTAATAAAACTGCAGAGCATCATGCTATTAGTCACACAGTGAATTTCAAAATTTAAGAGCTTTATATTAAAAACTGGGTAAAGGTAAAATGAATTGATTGCAATTGTAAAATTAATACATTCCCATTTTAATTCTTCTGTTCTACAGTCCAAGGCAAGTATAAATGTTAACATAACACTGTTAAATCAAATCTCAATGCAAGAGAACCGATTGCATCTCTACTTTAAATCTTATCAACTTTCCAAATTTTCATACTAAAATATATTATTGTATTAATACAAACTACAGTATTATACACTACACTGTGTAATAAATAAAGAAATATAAAAATAAGACACATAAATATAAAAGTTTTCTAAAACTAAAAAGGTACATATGTCAGTAAGAAGGGTATTAATACTGCCAGGTTTGAAGACATACAGTACAAAATGTTGCACAGATCTATAAACTAAAAGAAATAAAATAATACTGATAGGTAAAAATCAGCTAACATTGTTAATAAATGGGGTCCATAATAACTAACATTTGAAAATACTTATGAGCCAGATAACATGTCATGTATGTGTCTGAAATTAAAGTAAACCAATAAAGCAATAAAGCAGATTAGAAAATTTCCCTTGTAATTATTGTAGAGAAATTCTGCAAGTCAGGTATTAACCCAAAATACCACCAAATAATTAAATAATGAAACATACCAGTGTTCTTACTTCTCTGATGGCTGAGTGTTTTTTTCCCCATGATTAGTTTAGAAGTTTGATACAAATCAACAAATGCTAGTTATTGTAGGCCACACATTGGGTAAAGGCTGCTCAGAGCCTTTGTAATACCGATAAATGGCACTTACAGCACACAGGTCTTGCATAAGGCCAAAGGAGATACAAAGCTTCATATCATATCCTTCATATTGTTACTACATACTCAAAACACAATTACAAACACTGATTTTGACGACTTTGCTGTCCTTACCAGTATTAACACTGTTAGTCCCTGCAATCAGAACTCAACGACAATCTTTTCAACTACGTTTTTAATCACATGAGTAAGAAACTTCAGTTCTTCTATCATCTGCTTTCTTAAGGCTAACAATACACTTTAAATGATAATATGCTCTACTACAACATCTAATGTCATAAACCGCTACCTTCTAGGTTGAATTTACAAAGGTAGCCAAGCACTGTTTGCAACTGCATTACAGGTTTCTGCAAAAGGGAATTTTGTAGTGCAGAAGTTCTCACATTTTAAAACATAAGAAAATACTGAAGCGGATTTAGGAAATGTTTTACCATTTAAAAAAAAAAATTCATATAAATCTCTCCCAATTGTACAGCTTAAAAATTAATCAACTAAAGAATGAAAATTAATACTGATAAAACAAACAATGCCAGATGCTTGTCTAATAAATCAGGCTTCCTACAACCTGTTAAATCTTTGCTTCCAGAGTCACTGTATTTTTCTAATCTGCTTCATGTTATAAACTTGTTCCTAACTTTGAAAACTGTGTGAAAAATTACTAAGTTTGAGGTTCAGGCACACCTGGATTTCTTTTTTTTTTCTTTTTCTTTTTTTTTATATATATATTTTTTTACACAGTAGTGAACAGAAAACACAGTATGCAGGCTACTGCGTTTCCATGAAAAGCATGTATAATATAGAACGAACTTCATTACCAATTTTTTTTCCTCATAGAAAAAACTATCATTTAAGCTTTATTTGTTTTTTTCTTCAGACACCTGCCCATTACTCTGTATAACTTCTGGTTCTGCATTGCTTGCTTGATTTACAGCTTCATCATTCTTGTTACCTTCAGTTTTCCTTTCTTCTTCTTCTTCTTCATCCTCTACTTCTTGTAGTTTCCTACATTCTTTTTCTTCCTGAAGTCCTTCTATCTCTTTTTCTTCCTCCTCCTCTTCTTCTTTTTCACTGTCTTCCTCTTCTTCCCTGGTTAGACTCTCTCTCTCATCCGAGTCGATCTGCGATGGAGATGCCCTGGCACCAGCATGCTCGTTACTGAGGACCTCCTGGCCCGTCTCCTCCTGTTCCGTGCTGTCACGCTCTTCTGCCTCTCTTTTGCAATAGGAGTAGCGATGATTCATGTGTTGAGAGTAAGACCCCGAGTGTGAAAATCGCTTTCCACATTTGTCACATTGGTAGGGTTTTTCCCCAGAATGCAGTCGCATGTGTTCGATCAAATGGTGTTTGTGTTTAAATGCTTTTTTACAGATGCCACACTCATGAGGTCTTTTACCTACAAAATAAAGCACAAACAATTGGACATCTTGTAGCTGAAGTTTTAAAAATTTATACTGTTGCTTTCATCATAAAATGTTGTTGGTGAACGTATTACCAGCAATTAGTAATTTCATTTAACAAGACGTTCTACTCCACGCATTATCAACCTGAGTTTCCCACCTGAACCCAAAGGATGAGGGTGCAAGGGTACATTGTCACAATTACAAGGGTAATTTGTAAATATTTTAGGAAAACTGAACATAGAATGACAAACAGATCTTCAGATGTAACTTTTAGCATAAAAAGTGGGAATATAAGTAAATTAGAAAAGGAGACATTTTTCTTGCAGTAAACATTATTTTGACTCAAAACCATTCAAACTTTTCTGTATTGATGGAAATTGCATATCAACTAAGCTTTTCTGGTGGTTTTTGTGTACCAAGTCCTTCTTCTATGTTATCATATGTAAAGGGAAAATTGTTCTCGAATCTAGGTTGGCACAGGTAAATGCCTTATGTACAAAACTTGCTGACTACACATACGTTAACAAGAAAAATCTGCTTTGTTTCACTTAGTTTTCTTTCTGCTGTTTTCCAGCATTCTACTTTGTTGCCTTGTTTTCATAGTCTCTTATAAACATAACAGGAGCCTAGTAATGTTATTTTAATTTTAACACGCAAGGTTCTTATGCAAAACAACTTTGCACAGTCTTAGCCCAGACATAAAAGATAGAGACAGTAAGACAGCAGGTTTTTTGTTCACCCAAATCAGATGATCGAGACTTCCATGTCAACTTAAGCCAAACAAGCAGTGAGCTCGGTTGGGGTCTCTTCCCAAGTAACAAATGATGGGATGAGAGGAAACAGCCTCAAGTTGTGCCAAGGGAGGCTTAGATTGGATATTAGGAAAAATTTCATCACCGAAAGGGTTACCAATCACTGGAACAGGCTGCCCAGGGAAGTGGGAGAGTTACCATCCCTGGGGGGATTTAAAAGACGTGTAGATGCATGGTTTAGTGGTGGACTTGGCAGTGCTGGGTTAAGGGTTGGACTCGATGATCTTAAAGGTCTTTTCCAACCTAAATGAATCCATGATTCTGAACAGTGCACTTAAAAGTAGAATGGAAAGAATGATTGTGTTATGAAAAGGAGGAGTTAAAAGAATCTCAGGACAGGAAAGGTATGAAAATAAATCGTCTTAATAAATACAACTTGAGAAACTTGATCAAGTGGTAAAGACAAAATGAAATCTTTTATCTTTTTAATTCTATATGTGAGATGAAATGAAAACATTAATATGCAGAAATATAATATAGGCACCTTAGCATGAAAAAAAAAATTTTTTTAAGACATCACAGAAGAAATGAGAGCAACATTTATTATTAAAAAAAAGACTAAAGATACTAGAACTGGAGTCAAAAAGACCAACTATGAGAAATTAAAAATAAAAATCAAAGCCGAAAGGGTGTTTTGTTTGGGGTTACATTCCATGTTTAATGAATGGCTGTTAACTTCAGATCACTACAAATGTGGCTCAATTTGAAAATCCTTCATGCTAGACAGATACACTGCCTTTCATGTAAAGTATCACACACATACTTGATCCTTTTTTCTTCATTTCTAATTTTAATTTTTAATTTTTCTTAATTTATAACCAGGCAAGGTAGATTAGAAGCAATACATCCTTGGTTACAGGCTGTGGCTTGCAGATGATTGTCCATGAGCCAGATGGAAGAAACTCCCCTTTTTCTATTCAAGCTTTAGGTCTTACAAATTTAAAGAAACACAGAACTGCAGTTCTGTCAAACAAATATACAAAACATAGGCTTCTAAAGAAAGCTGAGCACAGATGGTAAGAAGGACTATTACCCTTCCTTACGCTTTCTGAGAACTGGATTCCAGTTGCTATTATCAGTTACGCACTACCAATGAAATAATGATCTGAAACTGGTTTTCCTGGTACATACCTGTGTGTTCATACTTATGTCTCAATAATGAGCTGCTCTTCTGGAATATTTTGTCACATAAATCACATGCATATATCCCGTTTTCTGTCTTTCTCATCTTTTTCTTTGGAGGTGTTGAATCAGAATCATTTTGATCTTCTACATTCGATACTCCTTCTGAGCTAGTGTCTTGCCTTTCATCCTTAAGAAAAATTGCAAAAAAGGTTGAGTTCAGTAAAAAAACGCACCGATGCAGCACACAATCTACAAAATGTAAGCTGAAGCTGCCCTATTATTCTCATTGAATTCTGTAAACACCCAAATGAAATTGGGTTACATAGTCAAAATTGACTTACATAGTCAAAAAAATCTTTCGCTGCATCGCTCTGCTTTGCAGTCCCTGCCACCATACAGATGCAGAATCCTCACTGGGACTGACGTTAATCACGTCCAAATCTGACTGTTGGCCAGGTCTGAGCTACACTGACACATCGTGGTTTAAGGCCCAAAAAAATAACTGCAATGTTAGGGAATATAACCTAAAATGTACCTCAGTAAGTTGGAAGAGCAAATTTAGTATCTAACTACATTTTTCAACTAATATTTGTCACCCACATGCTGCCATCTCACAGATTTTATGGAAGTTAAGACTGTATTTTTTGATGAAGTTTTCACTTCACTTAAAGCTATTTAAGTTACAACTCGAATTTGCATTTTTGAATACCCTCTTCCTCATAAAACTGCCACAAATGCTACTTAACCCAAAATTTGGGGAATTTCAAATGTTTCATTAATAAATTTTTTTTAAAATATCATAACTGTTGTTTATTTCTAAGCATTTCAAGTGTTGAAGCTCACCTGTAAGCAGCACAGTATTTTCTACTGATATCAGCAGTATCACTACACACAGAATTAATTTTATCATATATTATCAAATCTGAATATAAAAATGTACATGTTTGCTACCTCAAATGGTGTCTGTCTCATAAACTTTAACATGTAAGCAACTCTGTAATTCTTCAAGGGTCCTCAGTCTCTGGCAATACAGAAGCCTGCATAAAATGCCAGACAGCCAATTTCTAAGATTTAATTAGAAACGCTCACTCTTTATGTGAGCCGCTTTTCTGTTCTGCTCTGTGCCTACCTCAACATGCACAGAAGTTTCTCAGGAGGACTGACTCCGATTAAATCACATCTGGATGTACCCAGGGAGGAACAGGGGCAGATACAGGAATGCAGATGAGGAAGATAAATACCTGCCCAACTTTCAATTGAGAATACATCTGAATTTTGTTTAAAGTGTCATTATAGGGTAGGATGAATTCAGCCACTCTGCAAGCCAAGAAAGCAGAGTAGCATGAAGGGAGTAGCCAAAAGTTCCAAAGAGTTTATTTTCTGGATGTGGAGAAAGAGGAGATACAGAGCCAGCAAGAAAAACAAGCCACAGCCTTACTTCGTTTTCTGATCAGGAGAGTGAGACTGTCTTTAAAATACTGAGCACCAATGTCCTAGAAGACACTTCTGAATGACTGAATATGGGGAAGAACTGACTTGTCCACACACAGAACTATAGAATTTGTTAGTCTGAACTCAAGCTGCCTGAGCTAACCAGCTTTGCAGAAGACTTAACAGTAACATCTACCACCCATTAACAATCAAGCCAAATAAACCTGATAGCTTATATTTACATTTTTATTTAATTTATCCTGACAGTTTTCTGTTGGTTTAGCATAGATACAGAATGAATACATCATACACAACATATAGGAATGCAGGGACCAAAGTACCTGATTTCCATTGGCTTGGGTCTGTTTTGGTGGTGTTTCTTGAACTGCAGGAGTAACTGTAGTAGAGTATGTATAAGCCACCTGCGGAATCAAAATGGTTTGCTTATTGGCAGCGAGAGCTCTCAAGCATGGAACACTGTTCTGGTCAGCAATGGCAACAATTGTAGGTAACTGGGCAGTGACTGTAGGTATAGCAATATTTATGGGATTGGCACTTGGTGGGATTACATTTACAATAGGATCAGAGTCTGTAATACTGTTGTCCTTTTGTGGTTCTTTTTTTGCACAAGTTAAGTTCAAAGGTTCTTCTTGCACAGAATAAACACTGTTCTGGTAAACACTAGTTATGGTAGATCTTTCCAATAGTTCTCCATGTTGCTTTGGTAGCGAAAGGTCAAGAGGTTCAATTTGTGGCTCTTCTTGTACACCCTCTGCTGTGTACGTATAACCCTGTGAATTTCTTGATGAAGAAAGGTTTAGTGGCGATGGGGATGGCGTGCTACTGCGTGAACCATTCAGAGTTGATCCCCCTGGTAAAGTCTGAGATTTTGTTGTATTGACAGGATTTTCTGAGTTACTTGTGCTGTTCTGGGGTTCGCTTGCGTTTGTAGTTGCTGTTTGTTCATCATTATCTGTGGGACTGCTTAATTTAACTTGTTCAGGAGAAGATGGTCCAGAAGACTGCACAGAAATTTGTCCAGCTTGCATTTTTTCAAACCACTTTTTTACCACATCCAGTGGTAGGTTTACTGAATCTGCTATTTTTGAAAGCTCTTCTGCGCTTGGTTGTGCATTTAATGCATAATACGCTTTTAGGAGCGATAAAAGGTTCTTTAAAGGTGGCTGACCAGGAGATAAGTTGTTCTCCCCAGTTTCTGATGGGACAGGGGAGTCGGGCTTCTCAGCTTCTGTTCCACTGGGCTGAGGAAGCTGAGGAGGATTTTTTGTTTCATAGTGCTTTAATTCTTGAAGTGCATTAAGATCTCCTGGACAGTCATCACAAAGAAGACAAGTGCTATCATTGGTCTCTCCTTCAAAGTTCTTATCTTTCTCAGACTTCACTGTAAGATCTTCTGGTAATTTTTCATTTTTGCAACTATTTGTAGGAACAGAGTTTTCTTTTTTTAGATTTTGTGGAACAACCTGAAGTTGACTTGGCTGCTCCAAGCTGTAGTTGATGATAATTTTGGTTGTCCCATCTTGGTCAACCAAAGGAAGACTGATAGCTGAAATGAGGGAATGGCCAGCTTGTTGTATAGATGCATTGCTGATTGTTTCTTGTTCTTTGGACGCAAGATTAGCATGATTGTTTTCCAATACTTGCCTTATTACATTACCATCCACTGCCACTTTAAGTACATTTTGAATGTCACTTAAGTTGATGCTTATGGGAGACACCAGACCTACTGTTGGTAGAACAACAGCTTGCACCACACCCTGAGGAGAACTGGTTGCCTGCAATGGGCTACCACCACTAAAAACCCCATTCTGCAAAGGGGCTGAACAATTAATTCCTGAAGCAACCACTATGGGCTTGAATTCATAATCCACAGGTTCAGTTTTAATTTGGTTAACAGGAAGTTGCTCTTGCAAGGGTTTATTTTCTATCTTTTGTCGTATCTGTGGTCTTGCTGGGCTACCTGGTGATGCAGAAAGGGAAGGGGAGGAGCACTGAGACGTCTTGAGCCCTGACCGAGCTCGACCATTCACGGGCATCAAACCAATACACTTCTTACTGCTTATGTGTGAACTGTATGAACCAGAATGGGAAAAACGTTTCTTGCAGTTTGGGCACTCATATGGCTTCTCTCCTAAAGACAACAAAAAAGAAGAAAAAAGGCATATGCAGTAGTTTACCAGGTTACAGCGTGACTTCATCAAGCAACAGTAACTAGAAAAGAATACATCGAAATGACTTCTCAGAGAGTCCTAGGGAAAAAAAATCCTGTACAGTGAACTGAACAGTAAGAGTAATTGTACCATCTATAGCTCGGACCCTAGGGTCCTTTAATAAGTTTGTGATCCACTAGTGGATATAGGATGGAGCCCACATGATCACGATGCATTCCAGTATTTCCCAGTAACTGTCTACATGTCACATAAATGAGTCTATATGATACTTGCAGATTTCATTAAACTCCATTCAAGCAGTACCACTGCTAACTTCAGAAGCTGCATAAACTACTTCAGAATGGAAAAAAAATAGAATATGATTAACCAAAGGAAAAATACAAATGCCATAAATGCAAGTCATACTATATAAGGAGTTATGCACATTTTATTGTGGCAAACTTAGATACAATATATCCGTATCTTCCTACAATACTCATCAGCTTAATAAGAACAGGGAAAGTTTAAGTAAAGGGAAAGGAGACACATGCAGAAGACAGATGTACATTTGCCTTCAGAGAAGAACGTCAGGTTAAATTGCTGGGAAGACGCACACAACCATGCAATCATTACATCCACAGCCAGAGTGGCTTTTCAGGGGTCTGTGCTACAGAGGAAAAAGAAAGAGCCAAAATAGCTGGCTTGCTTCAGATTGAAAAGTACGTTGGCTGAGGCTTTCTCACTCACAGGTGCAGTGCCACTACCCTCTGGAAATAAAATTGTTTGCTGAAGGAGGACTTCTAAGTGAGGTGCTCTTAATTGCTGTTATCATGGCTGAGCAACTGATAAGAAAGGAAAAGATGACCTAAAACCTTGTTTTCAGACCTTCTGTCAATGGGTAAATTTGAGTTAGAGAGAGATATTGAGAATCTCTTTTGACCAACCACATAT